AATCCCAAAATTGGTCTGGGAAACCCCAAAAATGGTCGGGAAATCCCAAAACCACTCAGGGAAAGCCCAAAACCGCTCAGGGAAACTTCAAAAATGGTCAGGGGACCCCAAAAATGGTCACAGAACCCCAAAAATGGTCAGGACAGCCCAAAACCTGTCAAGAAATCTCCAAAACCAGTCAGGGAAACCCCAAAACCGGTCAGGGAAACCCCAAAAATGGTCTGGAAATCCCCAAACCAGCAGGGAAACCCCTCTGCCACACAAGGATTTGATCACAAACATCAGCAATGCACAGGTCAAAAATCCCACTTCAAATCTGGGATTTCAAGGGAATAAATTTACTTTTTCTTTTTTTCCAAATGTGCTTTTTCTTCTTAAATTTGCTTTTCTTTTCAATCAAGTCAAATTCAGATTTTCAGGGAATAAATTTGCTTTTTTTCTACTTAAATTTGCTTTTTGTTCTGAAATTTACTTTTTTCCCTTCTACCAAGTCAAAAATCTCACTTCCAAATTGGGATTTCAAGGGAATAAATTTGCTTTTTGTTTTTTCTAAATGTGCTTTTTCTTCATAAATTTGCTTTTCTACCAAGTCAAAAATCTCTCTTCCAAAACTTGGATTTCAAGGGAAAAAATTTGCTTTTTCTTTCTTACAAATGGGCTTTTAATTCTTAAATTTCCTTTTTCTTCTTAAATTTGCTTTTTCTTTTCTACCAAGTCAAAAATCCCACTTCTAAATTCTGATTTCAAGGGAATAAATTTACTTTTTTCTATATGTGTTTTCCTTAAATGTGCTTTTTTTTTTCCTTAAATAGGCTTTGTTTCTTCTACCAAGTCAAAAATCCCCATTCTGAATTCAGATTTCAAGGGAACAAATTTGCTTTTTCTTTTTTCTAAATGTGCATTTTTTATCTAAATTGGCTTTTTTTTTTCATAAATTTGATTTTTCTCCTCTACCAAGTCAAAAATCCCACTTCCAAATTGGGATTTCAAGGGAATAAATTTGCTTTTTGTTACATAAATCAGGAGGTGCAGCAGCCACGTGAGGCTCATCTGAGCCAGAAGATCCTGCAGTGGAAAAAGCCTTGGCATTCCCAACTCTTCTGAGCAAGGAATAAAAGCCTGGGAGGTAGGTGACCAATCTTGCTCTGTTACAGAGCACCTGAGGAGTAAAAAAAATAAATTTAAGAATAAAATAAAATAATAATTTCATACTAAAAATCCAAAGAATCATTTAAATGCTGCTCTGTGAGTCACTAGAAAAATCCTCCCTCAATAATTATATTGAAATTTGAATTGTGGCCAGCTGTAACATCAAGTTGTAGAAATATTTTATTGTTATTTTTTGTGTTTTGTTGTTCCAAGCAAAGAAAAAAGCCCTGAAAATTTAAAATAGCACCACAGAAACCCCACAGTTTAAATTGAATTATGGATAGGGATTGTCTCCATGCTTATCTCCTGGAAAACACAAATCCCACCTGCCACGGTGTGGGAGGTTTTTGGAAAATTCAACTTTTCAGGTGAGGAATAACAATTCTTTTGAGAAAATAACACAAAAGGATTTTCCCCAAGAGCTGCAGCTTTGATTCTAGAAAAATTCATGCAATTTTACATCAAAAGAGGCACTTTCAGAAGTAATTTACTTTTAAAAGAAGAGAATAAATGGTGCTATTTGGATATTTAATGCAAAAATTGTATTTAAAGCATCAGGACCTAAGGCAGTTTTTCATCCAGCTCTTCTGAGTAAACACAAAATAATTTCCACCAAATTATAAAAAAAACTCAAATGCTTCAAGACACATTTAATGCATGACTTAAATCAATTATTTCCAGCTCAAGCCTGGAGCTATCTCCTTCTAAAACAGCTTTAAAAGGTTCCTGTAGCACAACAAAAATCTGATTCCACTCAAATCCTTTTTCTTTATCACATCAAATCGCTACTGGAATTAATTTCTGCACGATGATGATGATGATGATGTTATAAACAGATGTAAACAATTACAGCCAACATGTAATTAGCAGAAAAGAGAATTTTTCCTTATTATCAGCCTGACTTAACAGGGAGATGTCGCTAATTACAGCTCACTCATGCAAATATTGACACACCTGGCGTGACACCAGCGAGGGAAGCAATGAATTATTCATGTCCCCGCGGCGGGAGCAATAAAAACAATCGATAAAAGGTGATTTATGCTGCCGAAATCAGCTGAGTGCTCCGAAACAGGGAATTCCTCTGTGCCTGAGCACAGAAAAAATGGATTTAATCCTTAATGACTTCATTATTGCTGGGGTGTTCAAAGCGGAGGGGGGCTGCATTGGGATTTTGGGGAGAAATTCTTCCCCCTGAGGTTCTGTGGCTGCCTCTGAACCCCTGCAAGCGTTCAAGCCTTGGAGCACACCGGGAGTTGTCCCTGCCCACGGAATTAAATTATTTTTAAGGTTTTTTCTTCCCCACCCAAACCTGTTCGTAATTGCATTTAATCCTCAACTGCGCTGTTCCCGGGATATCCGCAAGCTCTGCCGTCACTCACTCACATTGGCCATGGCAGACGCTGCTCTCCCCTCGCTGACAGGCCCGGACACCCCTGCGAAAGAGAACGGAAGAGGGCAGAGAACAGAAAGGGGACGGGGAAAGGGAAGGGAAGGGGAAAGGGAAGAGAAGAACTCCCCAGCCCCGGAGCCCCCTCACGCCCCGCACGGCCTCCCCGCCTCCCAGCAGCGGCGCTGCCGCGGACAGGCAGCGGAAGCTGACGGGAAGGGGGAGAAGGAAACGGGAAAATGGGAGAAGGAAACGGGAAAAGAGGAAAAGCAAAAGGAGCCCCCGGCCCCCCTCACCTCTTCCTGCAAAATGGCGGCGCCCACCCGCCCCCGCCCCGCCCTCGCCGCGCGCCTCCAGGCCGAGCCAGTCGATCCGCCGATACCTCGATGGGCGCGGCGAGGCACCGTGCGGAATCCGCCGCTCGGCGTTCGGTTGCTCAGGGCTGCGGGAGGGGCGGTGGGGGCCGTGAGGGGGAGGCGGTGATGGCGGCGGGGCCGGCGGGGCCGGGGAGGTTCCCGTGGGATCGGCGGGGCCGGGATCGATCGTGGCGAGGCCGGGATCGGTCGTGGACGGGCTGCGGTGTCTCCTCGGTGCTCCCAAGGCGGTGTTGCCCCGTGTGAGGGGCGGAGAAGGGCGGCCGTGGGTGCTGTTCTCGCGCGGAGCACCAGGGGGCAGTCGCGGAGCGTCAGCCGCCCTCATCGCCCTCATCATTGCCGAGGATCCAAAAAGTGGAAAATGGGGAGAAAAAGGGGAAAAGGGAATTGAAAGGGTGATTTCTCTAAGGAAAAGTGCAAAGCCAGGTGTTCGCTGGAATGGGGAGCATCAGTGGCGCTTCTGCCACAAAACTGTGACTTCAAGGGCAATACCTCAAATAACTTCTACAAAATAGGAATAAAAATATTTTAAACCTGCTTCAATGGCTTCTCTCCTTGTTGATTTTGTTGATTTTTTAATGGAAAAGCTCCCCAGGGAATGGTCACAGCCCCAAGGATTAAAGTATTTCTCATTTTTTGCCATTTCTTCACTGTCCCAGGCAGTGTTGCTGGTGAAGAAAAATGAACTTTAATCTCTCCCAAATAAAAGTTTGGGCGTTCCCATCCCTCAGTGACTTTGCACAAGGCCTTGAATTTATTTTCCTTCTAAACCAGAGGTTTCTGCACATTTATTTTGCTTTGTCAGTGGTTTATTAGCAGAAATTTATTAACATAAACCAGTGCCAGAGGTTTCCATAGTTCAAAATCAGAGCAGGACTTTGGGTTTGTGGCCAGGGCAGTAATATTCAGCCTTACAATGTTCTTACTGCATTTAATAAAGTCTTGGCTTTATTTTATCAGGATCAAGAGGAAATTTTTGTTTTCCATTCCTAAACAATGTGATGTATTAAGTAGCTCTAATGTTGCAATTTCAATTTTTGGACTTTTTCGTGAGCACATTTGCTCACTATTGGATGCCACTCAACTCTTATTAATTCAATGTTAGCACGCTTAATTCCCGTTTGCTTTTGAATTAAATATTCATGTGGAATCTCTGAACTTCAGGGGAAAAAAAAAATATGAGAAATCAGAGAAATTTAACTTTAACTCTTTAAAGAATGTAATTCATGTCCTCTAATAGGAAGCACTGTGGATTAAATCCAGCCTGTATTGACTTGTCCTTAGGCAATCCCAATTTATCTCCTCTCCAGGGCTGCCACTTCCAGATACTCCAATCAATCCATGAGTTATCAGCCCCTCAAGTTTGTGGCCTGAATTCCTAAAGATTCGTTTCAATAAAGTTCCTATTCAAAGGAGACTGCGGAATCAAACGATCCAATTACAGATTTATCAAATATTAATAAGGAAAAAAATCTTCCAGATCTTTTGGATGCCAGCATCCTTCTCCCCTGGTGTCAGGAAAGTAATTAGCAGCTGGCTTTGATTAAATTCTTCCCTTGGAGATTGCTGCTCTCAGTTTGAGGGAGAGATGCACACGACAGGGTTCCTAATTCCTCCTTGGAAAGCCTTTTTGGAAAAACCCACGTGGCTTCAGTTTGGGGAAACTCCTCGGTGTCCAAAACCTGGAGCTGAAAGCTGAAGTTCATGCCCAGGTTTTGCTGTTTTTTCCTGTTGTTACTGAGATGATTTTATTCCTCAGGGATCTCCAGCATGGAAAGGACGTGGAGCTGCTGGAGAGTCCAGAGGAGACCATGGAGATGATCAGAGGGAAAGGCTGGGAGAGCTGGGAGTGTCCAGCCTGGAGAGGAGAAGGCTCTGGAAAAACCTCAGAGCCCCTGGCAGGGCCTGAAGGGGCTCCAGGAGAGCTGGAGAGGGACTGGGGACAAGGATGGAGGGACAGGAGCCAGGGAATGGCTCCCACTGCCAGAGGGCAGGGATGGGTGGGAGATTGGGAATTGGGAATTCCCAGAGCAGCTGGGGCTGCCCCTGGATCCCTGGAATGTCCAAGGCCAGGCTGGAGCAGCCTGGGGCAGTGCGGGGTGTCCCTGCCATGGAATGGGATGAGCTTTAAGCTCCTTTCCAACCCAAACCATTCCATGATTCCAGGGTTCTCTCTTTGGGACAGTGATCTCCTCTTGGCACCTTGACCAGCACCAGGAGGAGCCTCAGAACTTTGGAACTTTCCCAGTCACCAGCACCCTCTGCCTGAACACTGAACTCCAGAGCTCATCTGGGATTCTCCTTCCATGCCCAGACCTGCTGGATTCCCTGCTCTGGAAGCAGAGGAGCCAGAGGTGCCCCTGAGAAGCTGCTTTGGTGCCCGAGACAAGCAGAAAGTGAATTTTCAGCTTTTCCAACCATTCCTGAGAAGCTGCTTTGGTGCCCGAGACAAGCAGAAAGTGAATTTTCAGCTGCTTCCTCTCAGCTCTTCCAGGAACCCAGAGAAGCTGTGCAAACTCCATCCTTGGAGTCTTCAAAACCCCAGGATGAGGTCCTGGAATTGGACTGGAAGCCCCAAACCAGGGTTTCATCCTTTGTGGGGGTGGTTGCTGGTTTTATTCCCAGTTCCAGCCTGGGAACTGTGGGAAATAGTAAAGGGAAGAAGATTTTCAGAAAGCTGGGAAAGCAGGCCTTAGAAACAGCCCAGAAAACAGAGCTGGCTGCAGCTGCCAAGTCTGAAAGCAGAAAAAGTTGCAGCAGTACAACAAGCAGGGACTTGAAACAATAGCTTGAATTTTAGGAATTTTCCCTGGTGGTTTTCCCTTTGGATACAGAAGATGCTGGTTAAGTAGTGCTAAAAACCCCCCCAGATATTCTTTATTCCCATTGCCCATTTATCTGTGCAATGATGGATTGTGCTGGTGCTCCCAATTTTCCTAATGGCACCCATTAAACTTCATTAGGACTTTGTTAAACCCGAGTTCAAATCGTTGCCATTGATTTTGCATCTCTGAAAGCTGCTGGAAGCACATCAGGCACGGAGCATTCCCGGCCTCCCCGGCATTCCAGCCACATTCCAAAGGGCAGCAGAGGGGCTGGGATGCCAGCCTGTGGTCCAGGGGATATTTAGGATCACCCCACAGAGCTGACAGTTCTCAGCCATCCTTTGTCACTGCCCCAGCCAGGGAATTTTTAGCATCCTCACTCCAGCTCAGCTATTTTGTTTATCCATTTTATTCCTTGTATTTATTTTTCCTCACGTTTCCACTGGGGCTCCCCCTTGCCTTGACCTGCTAAACCTCGGGAATGAGGAATGGCTGCTCCTGAGTGCCAGGGATGGAGGAGAAGGGAGGAAAGGTTTTAACCGTGCTCTTTTCCACAAAATAAACATCCTCTGGCTATAGGAAGAGTAAACTTCCCCTGGAAATGGATGTGTTTATATGAACAATCCCTTTCTTCTGGCATTTCCAGAGATTTGCTGGCTACCACTGGGAAAAGAGGCTTTTAGGGGAGCGGTGCAATTACACCAGATAAGTCTTTGCATGATTTGTTTTCTTTTTGGGAAGACATTCCCCCCCTGGATGGATTGCTGTGAACCTGAAAGGGATTTCCTCCTTTATCTCCTGCGTGTCCCTGCCCGCTGGAATGTTCACCAGAAGGACAGGAAAGGCCTTTTCCCAGCAAACTGCTTGGCTTTGACTCTGCTTTACTGCGGGTTTACTGGGAATCCTTTACCAGCACAGCCTCCCCTGTATCTGTAAGCTCCCAGTTTTTCACCAAAGAGAGAATTTTCTCAACCTTCCTAAACTGGGATGAGCCATTTCCAGGGACATCCTTCCAACAGGAGCCCTGATGCAGGATCATCCAGATGGATCTGAGGTTGAGGCAGACAGTAATTCGCCTCAGTTTGGTTTCAAACAGAGAAATCGAGTTTTAAAAGCTTTAGAATTTCCTTGGTAGGGATTAAACAGGAATATTTTTCCTGGGAAGCATGACCTGCTCCTTGTTGCTCATGTGGGGTGAGTGAGGAGATTCCCAACCCCTTTTTCCTCAGGTTCCTTCCAGCAGCACCTCAGGGATGCTGCCACATCCAACACGGCCTGTGGGGAACAGGGAATGATTGCAGGTTGGGTGTTTTGGGAGATATTTCTATTTACAACTGGTCCCACTCCAAATTTATGGAATTTAGGTGCCAATAATTTAGTGCTGAGGCTCTCACCAAAGCTGGAGGCCAGAAATAGTCTGGATTAAGTTTCATGTGATCTGAATTTGGTGGCAAATCTCAAATCTGGGAATGTGTGGAATTTAGGTGTCAATAATTTAGTGCTGAGGCTCTCACCAAAGCTGGAGGCCAGAAATAGTCTGGATTAAGTTTAATGTGAGCTGAATTTGGTGCAGCCTGAAGCTGAACTGGGACAAGGACTGGTTTGATCGGGTCTGCATTTTCCTGAGATCCCAGCTCTTGGATGGAGAGATCCATGGGGAGCAGGAGGACGTGGAGCTCTCTCTCGGGATCTGCTGGTGGCAGAGACACCAGGCTTGGCAGCCTGGAATGCTCCAGGTGCTGGTGGTCCTGAGCCCTCCATCTGCTCTGGGATGTGCCATTCCAGGCTCTGGGTGCCAGATGTGCTGGGTGCCAGGTAAGGAGAAAGGTTCCCCTCAGAACTGGATCAAAATCAGCTTTTTATAGGCTGCTTCTATTTTTGGTCACTCTTTATCCATCTGGGAAGTGTTAGAAAATCTGAGGAGGCAGAATTCCAGCTAAAACCCAGTGCCATGCCTAATGGGCTACTTATTCCACCAGATTCCTCATTTATTGTTTTTTTTTTTTAATAGACGGGGTCGTATTTTTTAACCCTCACGGATGGGGAGCGTGTCTCACAAAGAGGTTTATGGCATCGTGGGCTGCCTGTGAGTTATGAGGCTGTTCCTGTCTGGCAGGGAATGAAAGAGCCCAGCATCTGGCAGA